GAGAATAAATCCTGTGAGGAGCCAGGGAAGGAGCTGGGGGTGTTCAGTGTGAGGAGGAGGCTGAGGGGAGCCCTCATCCCTCTCTGCAGCTCCTGACAGGACATTGCAGAGAGGCCGGGGCTGGGCTCTGCTCCCAGGGGATCAGGGACAGGACAAGAGGGAACGGCTGGAAACTGCCCCAGGGGAGGGTCAGGCTGGGCAGGAGGAGAAAATGTTTCCCAGCAAGAGTGGTCCGAGAGTGGAACAGGCTGCCCAGGGAGGGGGGAGTCCCCATCCCTGGGGGGGTTTAAGGGTCGTTGGGATGAGCTGTGGGGGGATGTGGGGTAGGGGAGAACTTTGTAGTCAGGCTGAGGGTTGGACTCGGTGATCCCGAGGGGCTTTTCCCACCTGAATGGTTCTGTGATTCTGTGACGTGTGCCTTGGAGCTCAGGTTGATGCCTCCCAGACGCACACCCAGGGCTGGAGAGGCTTTATGGCGCCTCTGTGGGTGCCTGTGCCCAGCGGAGTTGGGCAGTGGGGTGCCTGCATGTCCCCCCCATGTCCCCATGTGCCACCACCCCACAGGTCGCCATCCAGCTGAATGACACACACCCCGCCATGGCCATCCCTGAGCTGATGAGGATTTTCGTGGATATCGAGAAGCTGCCATGGAACAAGGTAGGGAGATTCGACTTGGCCCCTGAGTCCCTTCCACTTGCACCAACCCTCCAGCCGAGGAGCTGAGGAACCAGTTTGGTAGCTACTGGTGGCCCAGGGCGTGATGTGGAGCAGTCCGGTTGGGTTTAACCAGTATGGACTTAGAGGAGCCGGCTCGGCCGTGCTGCTGGCCACTGTGGGAGGACCATGAATGGGTGTTACACCCACCCGGGGCTGCTTCCACCCTCACTGCTCAACGCTGGCTCTCCCTCCGGCAGGCTTGGGACATCACCAAGCGGACCTTCGCCTACACCAACCATACGGTGCTCCCCGAAGCCCTGGAGCGCTGGCCGGTGGACCTGGTGGAGAAGCTGCTCCCCAGACACCTGCAGATCATCTACGAGATCAACCAGCGACACCTGGATGCAAGTGCCTTGGGGCAGCGCAGGAGCCCTCTCCGGGGAGGGGATGGGGATGGCACATGTTGTGCTGTTGGGATTAGGGGGATGCGCGAACCGATGGTATTGGGTGGTTCTGGCTCCTATTTTGGGAGGTTGGTGTCTGGGAAAGCCCTTCCCAGCAGTCTGTTGCCATCCCACAGTTAGTGGCTATTTTAAAGACTTCACCTATTGCTCCAGGGACTTACGTGTTGGCACTTCTTTGCTCCCTAAATGCTAAATTCATCCTGGAAAAGGATGAGGTTGAGGGTACAAAGGAGATGGTGTTGTGGCCTCCTGGTCTGGCAGCACAAGGCTTTTGCCAAAATGTCCCCACTGGCCACATACGTGCCCACAAGCCCCTCTCCATGGGGTCTGGGGAGGTCCTTTTGTCCAGAGGTGTCCATGCTGGGGAAGGGCACCCTTTGGAGGGGGTTTGCACCATCCCTCTGGAGTAAAATCCACCATTCTGGCAAGTGCCCTGGGGATATTGCTGTGGCCTCCTCCTTGGGAGCCAGCAGGCAGGGCACCCTAAAATTCCAGCACGACTCACCACCTCTCCGGCCTCCACCGGCAGCACATCGCGTTCCTCTTCCCAAATGACGTGGACCGGCTGCGGAGGATGTCCCTGATAGAGGAAGGAGGCACCAAGAGGATCAACATGGCCCATCTCTGCATCGTCGGCTCCCACGCTGTCAACGGCGTGGCGAAGATCCACTCCGAAATAGTCAAGACTCAAGTGTGAGCGCGGGGAGGGAGGCGGTGGTGGGTCACCCTTGGCTTGGAAACGGTGCTGGTGCCGGGTGGGCCAGCCTGAAGCTATCCCCCTCCTCATCCTCACAGCTTCGAGGATTTTGCAGCGCTGGAGCCGGAGAAGTTCCAGAACAAGACCAACGGCATCACCCCGCGGCGCTGGCTCCTGCTCTGCAACCCGGGGCTGGCGGAGCTCATCGCAGAGGTAACGGCGCGGGGGGAGCGCGCTGGGCCCCGACCCTGTCCTGGCGCTGCCCCTGGGGACACCGCTCCATCCTCAGCCATTTACATCTAAACGGTCCCAGTTCTGTCTGCATCTCGCCTCCTGCTGCCCAAGCCCAGCTGGCTCTGCCGGGCAGGAGCAGCGCCAAGGCGGCCGCCCCCGTCGCACCGTCAGCGTGCGCCTGTGCTCCTGTTGCAGAAAATAGGGGAGGACTATGTGCGGGACCTGAGCCAGCTGACGAAGCTGCACAAGTTTGTGGATGACGACCTCTTCATCCGGGAGGTGGCCAAAGTGAAGCAGGTGAGGGGG